GCCTGGATCAGGGATGTAGAGCCCGCCATGACTGCCACCGATTGGGATAAGGTCTTTATATTCACGCACCGCTTGGCAATGTCTTGTAAACTGCAGGAGCGCAACTTTAAGCTGCTTACCAGATGGTACTTCACTCCGGTGCGATTACACCACATGTTCCCCTCGATGACGCAGATCTGCTGGAGGTGCCTTAACGCTGAGGGTACCTACCTACATATGTGGTGGTCCTGCCCCCTGGTTAAGGGATTTTGGGAGATTATACTAGATATTTATGACAAAGCACATGCTACAACCACACCGAATACCCCTGCTCTGACCCTGCTAACATTAATCCCTACCGCAATCTCGAAAGCAAAGAAATCGACCTTGAGGTTCTTCCTATTTGCAGCCAGACAAGTTATCGCGGCTCATTGGAAGTCCACCCAAGTGCCTTCTTTAACAATGTGGCTGACTTGCATTAACGATACTATGCGTATGGAAGAAATGGTAGCTATAGACGCAGACCGCAACGAATCCTTCCGAAACCTGTGGTTGCCATGGATTTGCTTTCAAGACTCAGTTGCTCTCCCTGCCTTGTTGTCCTCAGCACCATAGTCGGGACTAGTTGTACCACTACTCTCTGTTGACATTGTATATTGTAGGCCGGGCTATGCCTCGGGAACCTACTTGTGGTCCCCACCCACCGTCACGAGCAACCTGGTCGTCCTCGTACCATACCATTGTCTGTATTTGTATTGTGTTGTCCTTGTTTTGTCTTGTCTCGCGTCCACTGATCTGTTTCCCCCCCCCTCCCCTCCTCTCTACGTTTAATGAGGTATACGGAGCCACACGGCACACCGCAGTGGCAGATGATCATATGCTTTTTATCGCTCTAAGCTCCTCGTTGGTTACTATAACTGGAAGATTCCTCTCCCATAAGGAGTCATTTGAGTGTAATAGGTCCTGTGGACCGACTTGCCTGTATACCTGTATGTACCCTGAAAATATGCTATGTATGTTATATGTTTTTACCCTGTTTAATACGAATAAAACTTTATTTGACTAAAGTAGAATTAAAGCACCGGTCTGACACATCCAGGAGCCAAGATACATGCTCATCAGGTTATAAAAATGGAATTCCTGGTCAGTAATTATTTAGGTGGAAACAATTTAGGTTGTTTTGTGACCAAGCAGTCAGACTGGTTATTAAAGGAAGTCATATTGGCAAGCCTTTTAGTGAGTAAGCAGCTGGACCTAACTAAGCACACATCTGTGAATCTCAATGGACTGCACTTTTGCAAGAGTGATACACTGGCTGTCCACAAGGAATATGCACTTTGCTGATTTCTACATATTTGCTATTGTACATGTAAAAAGCACAGCTGTGATTCATTTGTTTTGGTTGCCAGAGAACAGAACCTAGGAACAGCATGTGTTTTATACAAGGCTAGATGATTTAGGAAGCCATTTAGCCAATGTGCGTCAAACATCTAGTGTTGCTTATTTTCCCTCCCTGCTGATGGCCATATCCCCTGGCTCCTAGGAACATACCATCTGGATTCTGCAGTTTTCCCTGGACATGAGTTCAGGAAGCTTGTGCCTCTTCAGTTTGTAATTTTGTGCTGTAGCGTTTTCATTTAATGCAACACTTTTACTGCATAAGCCCAATGCCTACCCTGTCAATCATTCTGGTAGGCCAGAAGAAAACATCTACCTAGAGATTAGCAAGCTCCAGGTATCATTGCTCTTGCACCCCCTACATGCCTCAATTTCCTTTAGTCCTGCCCCTGCAGCCCCTTGTGTCTCAGTATGGTCTTTACTCCATTTGCTCATAGTGGACTGAGTGAGCAGTAGATATGGCAAAGGGGCTCAATGTGGCTGGTTATAAGGGAGTAGTAGTTGTGGTAAATCCATGCAACAAATTTGTCTGATAGGTGTAGCCAGGCTAGTGGAAGCTGTGTTGTGGCCACTATGTGTAGATAACACCATAAAATAATTTTGCGTGGTCTACGTCTGCGTACCTGGTGCGCAAATCTGAATTTTTTAAATTCCATTCTCAGAACATTGCCAGCTGTTGCTTAGAAGAGAACTAAAGCCAAACCTTTTTTTTTTGTGCTATACTTCTCTTTTGGGTCATAGGAATGTACTTATGTAATCCCGTGACCCAAACTCAACATATAGCGAGCTACTGTACACCTTATGCTGACCGCACAAAGCTGCGCTGCCGTTGAAAAAGATCCCTACACTATTGCCAGGATCCACCCTGCTTCATGATTGACAGCTGGCTCTGCCTCTCTAGAGCTTTAGCTAGCTGTGCCCGCCCCCTGTCTGTCCCTCCAATGAGTGCTGGAGGAACAGAGGGGGGCGGGATTTCTGTGGGGAGCGACTCAAACTATTGAGAAGAGTGCATTTTACTCACCCAATACTTCTCCTTTTAACCCTTTCGCTGCCAAGCTCTCCAGAACGCTTTTAACTACATCTGGCCACACAATTTTTGCAATGTTTCCCATTGATTTAATTTTCTACTGCTGCGTTGCTAGCGTTTGTAAGAGACCTACAAACCATATATTTTCTGAAACCACAGGCCCGGTAGAATAACAAAATGGGGCTACTGTGATGGGTCCTGTGATCATTTCGCAAATGTTTGTCAAATCATTATTAAACCGATAAAAATACACAATTGCATAAAAGTACATTAAGATCAGTATCATTGCAGGAAAAAAACAAAACTTTTCTGACTAAATCTAAAAAATAAAACTACGGATTTAATAAATAACAAATATTTGTATATTTCAAATTGAGCCTTTTTGCAAAACAGTAAATAAAAATGAAGTAACACAACTGTAAATAAGCGACTTATATAAAAAATTGTTTGTGCACTGTGTTGGTGTGTGTTGTGTTTAAAATGATGCAGGCGTACATTTAATCACAACACAGCGTATCAACGCACGGTAATGCGTCACAACACTTTGCCATGCACTGCTACACAGTTAAATTAATGTTATTTTAAAAAGAAAAAAAATCAACCACTGCGATGCGTTCTAACAACCCAAGTGATGAGGGCGCATGGGGCAGGCTTCCCGGCCAATCAGGAAGCGGGCAGCATGTAATGACTTGCTGCCTGTCTTCCTGATACCGGAAGTATTGGGCTAAGCATCGGAGCATTTGGACGAGTACTCACCCAGATACTCGGCATTAGCACCGATACTAGTATCTGTATCGGTGCATCCCTAGTTTTTTACAAGTCAGAAGCTTACAGTATTTGCAGCAGCTAACTTTTTTAGTTTTAGTGAAGTTCCTCTGAGCTCATGTGCCGCTGTCGGTGCTTTGACCTTGCCAATTGCTCAAATAGTTTTTTTTTCTACCGTATTACTGGATTGTTTCTTTGTGTTGACTGTGAGTTTTGATTTTGCTGTAAATGTATTATTAGATTGGCCTTTTATTGTAAACAAACAATGAGAGGGAAACAGGATACAGAAACCAAATCGGGTTTAGAAAGAGGAACAGAAACCTGAAGTATTAGGTTAGTAGCTTGAACTTGGAAATCTGGCATGTTCAATCACAGATGGAGGTCACATTACAAATACTTTTATTATAGTTCTGCGTTTTATCCTTGAGATTAGTCGAATGTTGACCCTGATAAAAGCGCTTGCATTATTTTCTCTTGCGTAACTTATTCAGAAAATTCAGTACAACTGCACTTTATAGTCGGCCTCGCTTCTTGAATATGCCAAGCCCTGGTTTACATTCTTGAATGATGAAAATAGGGTTGTGTGATTGCTCTTTTAGTTGTGATTTATACAGTATATGCTAATACAAAACTTAAAAAAAAAATAAATAAATATA